TGTGCATTGTTACGCTCTGTTAAGCTCTGTCACGCATTGGAAAATGTCGAGATCGCCGATTTCATGCCACTTTTGATCCAATAACTATATAAAGATGCAGTAGATCCATAAAACTATTGCATCTTTGACTCGAGAACACGATGGCAGAACAACAAGATCCAGAAATTCAATATGGACCAGAGCATGACCTATCTGAAGAAGACATGATGTTTGTCGCACGGCGTGATATAGAGTGTGGAAACTTGTCAAGCGTAACAAAGCCTAGCAAAGCGTTTCAATCCTTGATTAAAGCGTCTCAATTCGTTGGAAAGCTTGAGAGTCCTTCATGAAAATGTAACAAAGAGTGTCAGATATTGATGAAAGCGTCTGACCTCGTGTCAGATCTTCATGCCAGATCGTAGCAAATCTTGAGACATCTTAACGAAGCGTATCAAGTGGTAACAGACAGTGAAGAGACTGGGGTCCCCGCTTTGAACTAAGCTCTGTAAAGCTTTTCTACACTTTGGGTCAAGCTTTGCTGAGCTTTGTTACGGTTTGTTAAGCTTTGATACGCTCTCGGCGCTTTTATCAATTCGTAACTGAGCGCCCAAAATTTTTAAACAGTTTAAAAATTTTTGGCGCTCTTGCCGATTATCCCGCTTTACTCCGAGCCTTTCTACGACCTATTACGACCCTGACGCTTTAATCAAGCTTTGTTACGCTTTGGTGCCGCTTTATAAGACGCTTTAAAGCGCCATCAAAGCGCCGTTGGTGCGAACGTAGCTTGAACAGTTTTAATTTTTTGCGCTCTTGCCGAATATCCCGCTTATCTCCGAGCTTTTCTACTACCTATTACGACCCCGACGCTTTAATCAAGCTTTGTTACGCTTTGGTGCCGCTTTACAAGCCGCTTTAAAGCGCCATCAAAGCGCCATTGGTGTGAACGTAGCTTTAGCTATGTTCACACCAACGGCGAATGCCACGCTTTAAATCGGCGAGCAAAGCGCCGTCATTTTTGTCATTTTTGTTCATACCAACGGCGCTTTGATGGCGCTTTAAAGCGGCTTGTAAAGCGGCACCAAAGCATAACATAGCTTGATTAAAGCGTCGGGGTCGTAATAGGTCGTAGAAAAGCTCGGAGTAAAGCGGGATATTCGGCAAGAGCCCAAAAAATTTTTAAACTGTTTATAAATTTTGGGCGCTCTGTTACGAATTGATTAAAAACCCAAGAGCGTATCAAAGCTAAACAAACCGTAACAAAGCTCAGAAAAGCTTGATGCAAAGCGTAGGAAAGCTTAACATAGCTCTGATAGGTTCCTCACGCTTTGATCCCGCTTTGACCAGGCTTTGTTACGCTTGAAATCACGCTTTGATAAGCTTTGATAAGCATTATTACGCTTTGATGCGATAATGACGCTTTAAATCAGGCTCTCATACGATTGCCAAGCTCTGTTGTGCATTGTTACGCTCTGTTAAGCTCTGTCACGCATTGGAAAATGTCATGATCGCTGATTTCATGCCGCTTTTGATCCAATGACTATATAAAGATGCGTTTCAATTCGTTGGAAAGCTTGAGAGTCTGTCACAATATTGACACAAGTCCTTTAAGTCAGTGTAATATAATACACATATGTCCTTTAAATCTTTTTAATTGTTAGTTAATTACTTGTGTACTCGGTATTGACCTTGGCCAATTATAGGTCAGTTTATTTCCTCATGCACACTTAGTTATATTACAGACATGTGCTGGTGTAGATGTGGTTACAGGTGAATTTATGTCTAAGGTAAACATTCATTTAGATTTTATAAATTCTAACCTTTTAACTTTTCATATTAATTAGTGTTTAGTTTACCTGGTTTAGTATAATCAAATCTTCTAAACCTGTGTCTTAACTTTCTGTTCAGTTTTGTGATTTCCTTATTTCAATTGTTCTAAAGTTAGTTTTCTTTCAAATCCAGCGTTCTTGTGCAGTGATAGTGATGGTAGTGAAGCCTAGTTAATCAAAGTGATGATGTGAAGCCTTAAACATTGAGAACGTGAATTGACTGTGTTTGTGAAGTGTGACTTTGAGAAATTAATGAACATCTTTATGGTGCTAAGAACATGAATAGTAAGCTGTACAGTATTCGTGGTGCATGAAACGATTGTAAATAGGAGACTTCAACTCGTGATACGTTCAAATATCATAATACCATTTTGAGAGACCTACGCATTATCGAAACGGATATCGTTAATTCTACATTCTACATACTGCAGAAGACTACACTATTTCTAGTGATCTATAACACATGCTGTGGGTGATCATTCCGTACAATTAAGAAACACTGCTATACGTACAACAGAGTAGTGTTAATAAAAGACAATCTATGATCTCACGTATACATTGTAAAAATTATATACATATACTTTGGGAAGGTTGGTTGTATCTATTTTGAGTAAAACATTATATTTATATGTAAAGATAAATGTATAATAGTTCAAAGGAACTTGGTTAGAAGCTAGCATTTATTTATAATTAATTAGTTAATTTCCTTTGTAAATATATTTCAGTGAAACTATATATATCAGTTTGTTCTGTGTGGTAAGGTTTTAAAAATAAGAACCCGACCCTGTGACAGAGTCCTTCATGAAAGTGGGACAAAGAGTGTCAGATATTGATGAAAGCGTCTGACCTCGTGTCAGATCTTCATGCCAGATCGTAGCAAATCTTGAGACATCTTAACGAAGCGTGTCAAGTGGTAACAGACAGTGAAGAGACTGGGGTCCCCGCTTTAAACCAAGTTCTGTAAAGGTTTCCTACGCTTTGGGTCAAGCTTTGCTGAGCTTTGTTACGGTTTGTTAAGCTTTGATACGCTCTCGGCGCTTTTATCAATTCGTAACTGAGCGCCCAAAATTTTTAAACAGTTTAAATTTTTTTGGCGCTCTTGCCGATTATCCCGCTTTACTCCGAGCCTGTCTACGACTTATTTCGACTCCGACGCTTTAATCAAGCTTTGTTACGCTTTGGTGCCGCTTTACAAGCCGCTTTAAAGCGCCATCAAAGCACCATTGGTGTGAACGTAGCTTAATATACATGTATACACCACGCATTAACAACTCAGTACATTAGCGAACACTTTAAACGTATTCCTGGGCCTCAGGTGGTGGGTATGACAAAACAAAAAATCAGAGGATTTCACAGGAAACAGAAGCAATAGCAACAATTTAAAATCAACAAGTTTTTTTGTATTTCATAACATTTCATAACAATATTTTTACAATTACATGTGCATTACTTCGATATATTCTGAAAAGAAAGATGAATTTGTGAAGTTCAGTATGTTCTATATAGTAATTAATGCATTTACAAGGAAAACACATGGTTTGAGCAGTATTTTGTATTTTGTAAAATAAAGTGATATTTTTAAACTACTTTTGCTTCATATTTTTTCGAAATCTAGAATCTTGGTTAATTGTACTTGCTTCAATTGTATTTACATGACCAGATTTCAGTTCACTTTTAGTGCCAGGAATATACTTAAATACTGTGGGTATCACAGTTAAGTACAGCTTATTTATTAAAGAGTGGTATACCACTCCATGATTTCATGAGCAAGTGTTCATTTGCTGAAAAATATACGTTTTTCAAATACAACATGCATGTTCTCAAGATAGATGATGAATATATACAATATGGCATTCTAATTGTATATTATGTTGATACAGTCTGTATGTCAACCTTACCCCCTATCACACCAAACTCGTTCTTACCCGTTCTTGCCAGTCCTACGAAAACGTCGTAAAACGGGCTCAATCTGGCTGTGGTCGGGAAATATGTCTGAAATAATTAGCTTGTTAAACAGCCTTCAATACGTCCATCTCGTTCGCAGTTCGTTCAGGTCGCACCACGTCGGTGTGCAACGCCGTAGAACGCGTCCCTTAGTCTAGAAGGTCATCATGACCTGATAACAGAACGTTATGGTCGCAATCGAATTTTGAATCGATTCAAAATTCTAAAATCACATTCCCGTCTGAGAACGTTCATAAAGTTCGTAAATAGAGCTTAGAAAGTTGCAGCTACGCTCATTCCGTTCGCACACAGTTTAGAACCAGTTTTGAAGAACGCAGTGGCAACTTGTTTGGTGTGATAGCTATATTTTTGCTAACTCGTTCATAAGCAGTGTTAAATACGTTCTTAATCAGTTTAAACCCGTTTGCAATGAGTTCTACCTCGTTCTCAACACGTCCTCAGACAGTTCCACTCGTTGTTAAAACGTCCCTAGTAGGATTGAAGTACGACGGTTCCGTTCGTAGTACGTCCAGCTCGTCGTTAGTACGTTGTCACTTTTCTAATTGTAGAACGCGACGACCACGAGAACATTTTGAGCATTGTCTAAGTTCTAGAGGACCTACCCGTTCGAGTACGTTCGATGAAGTTTGTAAATAGATCCCAAACGGTTCTTAGTACGTCCAGTCCGTTCGTACACAGTTGAAGCCCGTTTTCGAGAACGTAGTGAGAACTAGTTTGGTGTGATAGTAGGGTTATATACTCTTTTTATATACCAACTCGAGTGAAACATGATATAGATTGAATAATTATTCATAACACAATATGAGTGTCGCAGAAAGTTTTCTATATCATTTTGATGTATTCAAATGGAAATTATTGAGAACGAATATTTACAGGGTGGTCCAAAAGAATTGGACACTCGCATTTCAAAAATAAATATTGATTTTCTTAATGACAACATGTCATATTATATACCAGTGGATAGGGAATTCACTTATTTTTAATTTGGTATAACATAACCTCAAATTTATTATAATGTCTGTCAACCAGCGTCCATAGTATGAATGACGTCGTTTTTGTTTCAAAACGGGTTTTCTTCCAAAACTTGCAAAAACCAAGTTGAATTGTCAACTTTATTTACAAAAACAGACGTTCAATATGTCCAGCATTTTAATCAATTATTGTAGCCCTCAATTTTGGCATAAACTGGCCAATAGCATCGTTGATATGATGTTTTCATCAAGAAAAATCGATATTTATTTTTGATTTACTAGTGTCCCGTTTTTTGCACCACCTTGTACAATGGCAAGATTAAGGGCATATACAATATTTAAATTTTGCCTACAGGGTGTTCAAAAAGTTCTTGCAAAACTATATTTTATAATTTACAACATTGTGCCGGATTTGCTATACCTTAAGTGTTTTCTTATTACAATTAGACACTGTAATATTATAATCGCTGTATATGGGTGTTCATTTCAAATGTTAATCGATAAATGATGACAGTATTTTTGACTAGGTATAGTGCATATCTGAGGAAATAATATTACATTCGGAGGTAAATGTTGTGTATGTACATGTTCAATAAAAATAGCATCACATACTATATTTTTTGTATAAAGTCCCATTGCGACATATTTAAGTCTCAATCTAAGTAATGTCAGTCATAACCTACCTGTGTACCTGAGAGTATTTACTAGCACAAAAATCAATGCATGTGCTGATTCACATTTACGTGGCCACTAATATTCATGGCAGAGACATCTTCTATAGAACAATTGAAACAACTTCTAGAACATCATACATGTATGTATAAGAATTGTTGATCATATGCATTTTGTATATTCCAAATGATTGGCCATGTGTACCCAAATGCACAAATATTGCTTCAAACTGTTATCTGATCCAACTCCCTTCATGTAAAGGAATGAATCTCTAAATATACCCTTGAAATAAAAAAAACAAAACGTTTTTACGATTAATGTTACGATTAAATTATAAATAGTTTGTATTCATCATGAGCCAGTGCCATATTGAGCTGACTTTGTCAATATTGAATCTTAAAGTACATATGTTACCGGGGAAAATCTTCAATATAATAATGATACTCGGACATTTGCTTTAAACAACTTACAGTTTAAAACAGGTTCGGATTTATTTGCATTCACATCAATCAAATCAAATGTAAGAGTGTTTTAAATTTCTACAATTATCAATTGTCAGATTGTCTATAAAAATATTGATATCTATAAAAAATATATACAAAATCACGGTGTCGTATGTTTAATAAGAGGAGGATGTTTTCCACATTCTCCAAATACTCCACCTGCTACCAAATCAGCTTACCTCAGCTACACTTTCTGATTCCATTACTTCCACTTCGGCTGTAGTGTTTTCCATCAATGTTTTTTTTGATGGACTTTTCTTAAAGCACATCCTTTTAATATTTTTGAGCATTCTGCTGATTTCTCTGATCAGAGAAGTACTATCTAGGAATATAACACCACCAATGAAAATCCCTATGATAACTAATCCCATTGATCCAATAATCTTAGCCGAGGGCCGATCATCTGCTTCAAAATGTTCATATTTTGGAGGTCTGTAAATATTTTCTGAAAAATATCAAATTGAAAAACGTCCAAACTTAAGATCGCACATTGCAGTGTAATTAGGCAACTTATTCCTATACTACTTATCACTAATACCCAGTTGCTGGATAACGACTTTTAATAACTATTTGTAATGAAATTTTCTTTACATTTACCTTGATCGCATCTTCTGCCGGTGTAATTCCCATTACAATCACATCGAAAGTTGTTGGGGAAATCTACACATGTACCATTATTCAAGCATGTATCAGCAAAGCAGTCATCCATATCTATGGGGACGAAAATTACATTGGGCAGACTGAGATTAGGATGAAATAGATATATTTTGATCTTTTTTGTCAGAAACCAATGATTTTGAATTGCATTTTGTTCATTGACAATCTTGAACACTAAAAAGGAGTTGATTTGAAAGAAAACCAACTGCGAACTTAAAAAACGTCAGGAAATGGTGTTGTCAAGTCCTTCAGAACTATTTATTTTGTTTTGGGTGTATTTGCTTGGAATAACGAGTGACTATAAAGAATGAAGGAGATAAAACGAAGATGACTCCATCAAAATTTTGAACAGGCTCAGGTTCAGGATGACCTTCCCATCCGAGCAAGTCCATGAAGCCCGTTAAAAGACCGTAATAACCGACTACGTCCAATCCGTTCGCACACAATTTTAGCCATTTCGGCCATACGTTTAAAGAACGCATGCATTGAGACATCGTTTGGTGTGACTTGGGGGTATTTTCAAAATCTATTATTTTAAAGAAGCCTTCAAAGATTACTTATTCCAATTTGATGAATGAACATTGCTTACACACCGAACTAGTTCTTACGCGTTCTTGCCAGTCCTACGAAAAGTCGTAAAACGGGCTCAATCTGGATGTGGTCGGGAAATATGTCTAAAATAATTAGCTACTTCGTTCATAAACAGTCTTCAACGCGTCCATCTCATTCGCAGTTCGTTCAGGTCGCACATCGTCGGTGTGCAACGTCGTATAACGCGTCCCTTAGTCTAGAAGGTCATCATGACCTGATTACAGAACGATATGGTCGCGATCGAATTTTGAATCGATTCAAAATTTTAAAATCACCTTCCCGTCTAGGAACGTTCAGGAAGTTCGTAAATATACCTTAGAAAGTTGTAGCTACGTTCATTCCGTTCGCACACAGTTTAAAACCAGCTTTGAAGAACGCAGTGGCACCTTGTTTGGTGTGATAGCTATATTTTTGCTAACTCGTTCATAAGCAGTCTTAAATACGTTCTTAATCAGTTTAAACCCGTTTGCAATTAGTTCTACCTCGTTCTCAATACGTCCTCAGACAGTTCAACTCGTTATTAAAACGTCCCTAGTAGGATTGAAGTACGACGGTTCCGTTCGAATTCGTAGTACGTCCAGCTCGTCGTTAGTACGTTGTCACTCGTTCTAATTGTAGAACTATCGACCACGAGAACATTTTGAGCATGTTCTAAGTTCTAGAGGACCTACCCGTTCGAGTACGTTCGATGACATTTGTAAATAGACCCCAAACGGCTCTAAGTACGTCCAGTCCCTTCGAACACAGTTGAAGCCCGTTTTCGAGAACGTAGTGAGCACTAGAGTTTGGTGTGATAGTTGGGTTAATGACAATAATATAACGGATCAAATCTGTTAGACGTACCTTATTCTAATTCTTCAATCATGAGATGATATAAATAAATATTTAAAACATATATAAAATTCGACTAATACACTCCCCTCCAAAAGTTTGGCAACCTTAGCTCCTTCATTGAACTACGTGTTAAAGTCTCTTTATATGTTTGAATTTTATTTCCATAACCTGCAAGGAAAATACTTATAATATTGATGGGAATGTATTTTGACTTCATTTCAGATGCCTTCAAATATACCCACTTTTCCTCAATTACGATAGGTGGAAAATTGATGATAAATCTGATGGATATTTGAAAATTCATCCATCTGAGTTCTTGCAAAAAAGACAAGTTAAGTTGTCAATTGAATTTGCTAACTTCGTTTGATAAAATTGATAAGTTTCTTCAGGGTCTTCAAAAAACTCCTCCCATTGAAATAGCACAGGGGGCGAAAAATGATTTTCAAAAATGACTTTGAAGCTCTGTACTTTAGTATTCATAAAGTAAACTGAACACTTGGCGTTTATGTTTGAATTTCTATTTACATAACATGTGAGGTAAAAAAAAGATAGACAATCTTTTCTTGGTTAGATATACTTAAATTAGATTTGCCTTGAACCCACCATTTCCCATTGGTTTACGTGGGAATGACGATATTCAAAAATTCATCAAATTTATCATCAATTTTCGACCTATTGTAATTGAGGAAAAAATTGGGAAAATCTGGAGGCATTGAAATGAAGTCAAGTTACATTTCAATCAATGCTATGAGTATTTACCTCACAGGTTATGTAAGTAGAAATTCAAACATAAAGAGGCTTTAACACGTAGTTCAATGAGGTAGTTAGGGTTGCCAAACTTATGGAGGGGAGTGTATATACTGTACTACTGTTATAGAAAATATCCAGTACCTGTTTCACACAATGTCCCTGTAAAACCTACAAGACATCTGCATATAAACATTCCCAATTGATCAACACAAGTCCCTCGATTTAGACATGGTGAACTTCGGCATTCATTTATTTCTGAAAATGTTAATGTTCATCAATTTGACTAAGTTTCCCATAACAATCGTTCGGCTGTTGTAAAATATTGAATATCTATGATCTGATTCTGAATTTGATATAACATGCCTTTAGTAATTATGCGTGAATAAAACATCATAAATACCAGTGTGCATATATTGTGCAATGCGAATAGAGATAATGTATATAGTAGCCGTGACAGAAAAAGTCAAACACCACCTAAAAATATGTCTCATTTGTGATATTTGATACAAGCTAAATTTAGGGATTGTTTCTTGAATTCTGACCTACTAATTGATTATGACTTTAACAAAAGATTTTGTAAGTTAGGAATGCTTTGACTTGTTCTGTCCCGGCTACTATTTATCTGTTTACCTATTTCACAGAAGTCACCTCTGTATGATGAGGTACAATTGCATGTAAATCTAGTGGCATCGCCATAGCATGTTCCATTATGTTGACATTGAGAACGAGCACACTCTGTAACAAACCACGTCAGTTAAAACATAATACCATAGGGTGCAATCGAATAATTTTGGCAATAGGCCGGAGCATGACATTTTACGAAGAAATAGCAATAATTTAGCACAATTCATTTTTTAACTTGAAATATACTTAAATTTTGACAAAATAAAGGACTCTATGCAATAGCTATTTCATTCATGATTTTGTAGGAATTCTGTTGTTACCCAGTTTTGATCAAAGGCGAAGTTACTGTAAACGGCGCAGGCGTCCTTTACTACTATTTAATACTATTGAAAACTTCTGTCATTTCCTCAGTTTGATAATAATTTTCTACTCGGTTAAAAGTTGCATATTGGGTAGTTATTGTTATGGCACTGGCGGATCCAGGGGGACCCATGGCTGCCCCCTTCCCTTTTGTGGGCCCAGAAATTCTTTTAGGGCACCAAACAATTTTCGGGCTCAAAAATTTTGTAGGGCCTCAAAACTTGGGCCTCAAAAAATGTTTAGGCCAAATTATCAAAATTGGGCCCAATTTTGGGTTATAAGGGCTCATTTTTTCATGACTCAAAATTTGCCCCCCCCCCCTTGTTATCTTCTTGATTCGCCATTGTATGGTGTTAAAATCCAAACAAAAAGGAATAACGAAAAATTGCCACGGAGAAAATAGTTAAGCATCTTTTTATGTATAAAAAGTGTTGCATCATTCAACACAGTATAGTCAATGAGTGGAAATGCAAGGAGTATTTTCCTAGAAATACTTGCTTGGTTTGTATTCCACGAAAATACTCTACGCGATTCCACCCCCTGATAGTGCTAATGATGTGAACATGCCTGTGGTTACTTTTGGACCTTCTGTGGACAGCTTCGTGGATGTTATGGGATCTTGTGTGGACATTTCTGTGGATGTTGTTGAACCTTGTGTGGTCATTTCTGTGGATGTTGTTGGACTTTGTGTAGACATTTCTGTGGGTGTTGTTGGACCTTGTGTAGACATTTCTGTGGATGTTGTTGGACTTTGTGTAGACATTTCTGTGGATGTTGTTGGACTTTGTGTGGTCACTTCTGTAGGACCTTGTGTGGTAACTTCTGTGGGTGTTGTTGGACCTTGTGTGGTAACTTCTGTGGTTGTTGTTGGACCTTGTGTGGTAACTTCTGTGGGTGTTGTTGGACCTTGTGTGGTAACTTCTGTGGTTGTTGTTGGACCTTGTGTGGTCACTTCTGTGGTTGTTGTAGGACCTTGTGTGGTAACTTCAGTGGTTGTTGTAGGACCTTGTGTGGTAACTTCTGTGGTTGTTGTTGGATCTTGTGTGATAATTTCTGTGGATGTTGTTGGACTTTGTGTGGTCACTTCTGTGGTTGTTGTTGGACCTTGTGTGGTCACTTCAGTGGTTGTTGTAGGACCTTGTGTGGTAACTTCTGTGGTTGTTGCTGGATCTTGTGTGGTCATTTCTGTGGGTGTTGTTGGATCTTGTGTGGTTATTTCTGTGGTTGTTGTTGGTTCGTCTGTGGACATGTCTATTACAATCAATAACATGTTAATGGTATAGCTATAGCGAAATCCACATAAAAGGGTATCTGTTTCCTTTAAAAATAGTCATGTTCTGTTTCACATCTTTTTACAAAATTGATGCCATTGCCTGTCTATAACATTATTTGGTTGCATTTTGAAAATAGGCATTTAAAACAATCTATGCTTGCACTAAATAGAACAGGTTAAGGCAATAACAATTTTAGACAGCGATCAGTGTGCTTATTGACATATGACTAACCTTCCATTGAATGAAACAGACCGTTTAAAAATTTCTTTGCTAATTTCTCATAAAAGCACATATGTAAATGTCCACAATGTTGAGACCTCACTCCTTTGACCCAAAACTAATTGCAATAGTAATTAAATTTTATTTTTTCAATTCATATAAATATATGGAATGACATACGAAAAATTTACCAAGATCAGTTTCGTGGAAAAATCATTTTTTGGTACCCCCTCCCCTTGAAAAATATACCCCCTAGGGAAAAAGATATGTTTCAAATGCCTGCAATTCTTTGAAAGTAATTTTACAATTAAGTAATCGTAAAGTAATCTCACTGGTGATGGCCATTTGATTAATAACCTGGTTACTGAAACGGTTCGTTTGTGAACAAAATTTCGGAGGCTCAAAGGTACAATTTTTATGGTTTTGGATAGTTTGGGTTTGCTTTTCCTGTGATCTATACTTAAATGTTATCTTTTTCTTACTTTGTTCTGAACAATTTTTGAGTCCTTACCCTTTAGCACCAGTACTTACATATTCCAGTCATATTCTTATAGTTGTTACGCGTAATATGGCATATATTCATGGTTGTGCGGTATTTGTGATATGGATAAATATACCATACTCACCTGGGGTATATGGCATATTCCGCAGGTGAATATGGCATATTCCTCAGTAAATATGCGATACATTGATTTTTAGTGAATATCAGATACTCACTGCAAAATATGTCATACTCTTCTACGGAATATGGCATACTCAACTGCCTAATATGCCATATACAGCAGGTGAAAACGCGATACAGAAAGCCTCGATTTGATTGGTCGAAAGAATCGATTCTAAATGTAAAACTACGAATGATACTCCTGAAAGTATCAGCAATGTGTAAATCATGATAATCAATACAATATGTAAATACTCGTGTTTTTATCTGGATTTTTTCAACTGTTGATTTGGTTTTAAAAAATCACTTATATGCTTTACGAACGTAGGTTCGTTTATTTATACATCATAATTTTCCCCTTGAGGAGTGTTTTTCTGTGGAACACATACATAAAACAACATCAAACAATACAGGTACCATACTGGTGTATGTTATTAAATTGTATTAGTTGAAATTTTCAATGCACTAAGATATTTATTCAGTAATCATAATAATAATTCATAGACTTTAGCATGTTCGTTGAATCGATGTATTTGAAAATTATGTAATTCTGTATCGCGGTATCATTGGTTAGTGTGCCATATACCGCAGGTTAATCTGGCATACACCGCAAGTGAATATGCCATATTCGTTGCAGAATATGATATATATTTGTATTGTGTTTACCTCGTAACAATTGTAACTCTTACAATACCAATCAACTTTGTGTCTAAATATAAGAGTACTATCACGTAAATCAAGATCAGATCTTTAGGTTGGCTTTGTTATATGTATGTTTCTTTAATAGATAAAGAGAAAACAACATACACTCCCCATCCATAAGATTGGCAACGTTAGCTCACCAATTTAAGTACGTGTTAAAGCCTGTTTACGTTTGAGTTTTTATTTACTTAACTGGCGTTGAAATAACTTATAATATTGATGGAAACGTAACTTGACTTTATTTCCAATACCTCCAAATTTTCTCATTTTTTTCCTCAATTACAATAGGTCAAAAATTGATGATAAATTTGATGAATTTTTGAGAATCGTCATTACCATGTAATCCAATAGGAAATGGAGGGTTCGGTGCAAATCAGAAATCAGGATATCTTTTCAGTAAAAGATTTAGCAAAAATATCTTTATATAGAAAATTGAATTGTCTAACTTTTTTGTACGCTAAGTGTTTAGTTCATTTGATAAGTACTAACGTTACAGCGCTTCAAAGACATTTTTGAAAATCATTTTTCGCCTCCTGTGTTATTTCAATGGGAGAGGTTTTTTGAAAAACAATTTTGACTTTAAAGCCCTATAACCTTGTTGAACCTAAAGAAACATATCAATTTTTCTTAAATAAAGTTAGCAAATTCAATTGCCTGCCTAATTCGTATTTTTGCAAGGACTCGGATGGATGGATATTCTGTCATATGACTTGCGGCAAACCTACAATTTCCTATTGGTTAACATGGGAATGTCAATTTTCAAAAATTCATTAAATTTATCAACAATTTTCGACTTATTGTAATTTGGAGGTATTGGAAATAAAGTCAAATTATGTTCCATCAATAATATAAAAATCCAAAGGTTAAGAGGCTTTCACACATAGTTCAATGGGTGAGCTAAGGTTGCCAAACGTATAGAGGAGAGTATAATTGTGGTGATTTGAATAGAATCACATATCATATGACACGTTCACAGTCATAATTCAATAATCATTATGATGTAACAGGTATGACAGGTGCATCAAAGGGTACATTTTCGGCCTTTTTCTTTGTTATGAAGGGTCACTCTTGAAAAGTACATATTTTGATGGTTTGTGAAAAGCGTATTTGAAATAAATCTTTTCTCTGGATTTTTCTGGAATCGTGATGACAAGATTTATCTAGAAACTTCCAAGATGGCCGCCAGAATGCAAGATGGCCACCGGAAAGTTAATCAGCTCTAGAACTTTTGGAGTAAATCCATAAAGTGGTCTCCTGGAATCGTGATTTCGAAAAAAATGAAACGCTACCCGCCCGCAAAGCAGACGACAGTAAAATACACATCATATGATGCCATAATAAATTAGCAAATGAGCTCATTTGCATATGAGCTAATTGCATATTAATTGCTTCATTATGATACAAATATCAATCTGAGTCGACGAATAATGAGTGGAATATGCCTAATAATGTATAACATCTAATTACAATATTCACTGGTTGCTATGGAAACTGGCATTTGCCATTTGGTAACAAACACACACTCGAATTAGTATATGTGTATCTGGAAGACAAATACATTTTTTCTTTGTGAAATTAATATTATTTTCTAGGAAAAACAATATCCAATCGTGGTCAAGCTAAATTATGTAAAAATAAGACCCCAACTTTAAGAAAAATGTTTTTTAGCCATGCACTCATAAATTGAAGGGGGTGGGGTAGGGGTTATTTTCGATTCAAATTTTAACATTGTTCCACTTCTTCGATTTTTAGTATGTATTTCAAGGTTAATAGATGTAAACAACTAACCTAATTTGAATACTATTGCAATTTGTTTTTCCTTAAGCTTATTTTTTCATTAGTTTGACTGGGCTATAACAATGATAGTAAACATTTTAAAACGTTTGGAATGATTAACAAAATGTCAGCACCACTGTTGTAACTGATCTGATTTTTAATACCATACCTGTCTCACATTGTTCCCCAGTATAGCCAGGTTGACAAAAGCAAGGACCAATGTCGAAGCTATCAGTTGTGAAATTGTAAGGCTCGTTACATTTACCATCATGTAAACAAAAACCATTCTGCCTGCATACTAAAATAACAAATATGTACGAGTATAACTACAGCCTTTGAATTTGCAATTGCATACATGTTGTTTATCAGATAATTTAAAACTTAATTAATCATGGTTTTTGCAGTCTTGCTTTAAAACTGTGGACACGTTATCTACTTCACCAACACGACACAGCCTTGTAACCGCAGTCTAGCTACAGGTGCTGCCCTCTAGGTCACCGGAAGTTGAAATGGTTTGATTTATTTGAAAGAGCCAATCAAGATTTATTGCCTAAGAATGCACCTTCTTATTCTCCCCTTTGTTAACTTAATTTCAGAGTGACATTGTAATTTCCCCTAGTCTATCGTTATCTAAAGCTTTTGGGAGACAAACTTATAAGAGAAAACATAGCCAGCGCATTCTTCAAGTGGTAGCAAATACTACTAGCAACACAACACAATGAACTGTAGTTTATTTTAAAGAATATACAGTTATAATAAAGAATATGTGCATTATTTTTCTATTGTTTTTGAAGAATTAACGCTTGGCAAGCTATCCAAAACCAGTATGGCACAAAGGACAATTGACCGTCACATGCAGCACTAAGCTGAACCAATTACAACCTATTCACTCATTCAATAGTAGAATAGTAAACACAAAATAAATCAAGTTTTAAACTGTACCTGACCTGTAACATGCAGTGCACCGAAGCTGAACTAATAACATCCATTCACTTCTCAACTGACTTACCTCGTAGTCAATACAAAAAAAACAATTTCTTCTAAAACTGGATCATGGGCCATTTACTTTTTATATGAGTTAATGTGGAGTTTAAGTTAGATAAACCATACTGGGTCTTAGGAGAACTAAGAGAACTAGAGAACTATTATTCCTCCTAACATCCATAGCAGAATGCATCTTGTTATCTCCCATCTGTAAACTTTCTTTCATAAAACTCATATCTTAGGAATCACTTTTTACTTTGGGATCCTTGTTTTTATATAATACACTTATAATGATTATACTGCCGTTTACAATATTCCCTTTTCTTATACTCTTTTCCAAAGGATTGTAGCGACCGTGGATCCCGTAGCGCCAAGGTGACACTTGGATAATTTGTGAAAGAATATTCTGTCTGGTCTGCGGTCATGAACGTACTTTTAGACGAATTGGTACGTACTACGAACGGAACTGTCATACTTCAACCCTACCAGGGACGTATTGAGAACGAGGTAGAACAAATTGGGGTTGAAAACTTGTCTGGTGTGTAAGGGGGTATAACCGCCCTATCACACCGAACTAGTTTGTACCCGTTCTTTTAGTCCTACGAAAAAGCCATAAAACGGGCTAAATCTGGCTGTAGTCGTGAAATATGTCTAAAATAATTAGGTACTTAGTTCATAAACAGTCTCCAAAACGTCCATCTCATTCGTAGTTCGTTCAGATCGCACCATGTCGATGTACATACGTATTGCATATCCGATTGCACAATGTCGTATAACGCGTCTCTAGTAGGGTTGAAGTACGGCAAACACGTTACGTTATAGGATGAGAGATGTTACTTTGTTTTATTTTCTATAACTCAAAATTTTCTGTGAGAAATCGCCCCCTCCTCAACCTTCATTCGTTTTGTCCGATTACCAGTGAAGCCCATGATTTTCAGATGAGATCGTTGTTCAGTCGTACGCATTTTAATACTCTTACCTGGACAAACCTTTTCATAGACCTCTTCGCCAAAAGTTACAGGTCCGAGCGTTGGAGTCGTGCCAGAATTGACAAAATCACAATAATAGAATATGGTGTTATACATTGCCCAAAAGCAGTTCGAATCCAAAAAGCAGGATCTAGTACAAGAATGCGGTGTATTCGTAGCTTGAGACAGTAAAGAACTGGTTATCGCCATGTCTTGTTTATCACGTAAACGGCATTGGCCTGGAAATATATAACATATATGTACAGCTACTAAAATATTATTTTCTGGTGGACTCTGGTTAGGCTGTTACCTCCTGTTGAAGAACCACTTTTTACAATTATACAAAATCGTATCCTGTATCTGTCAACATTTTAGCACTCGAAGCGCTAACCCCCCTATCACACCAAACTAGTTCTTCCGTTCTTGCCAGTCCTACGAAAACGTCGTAAAATGGGCTCTTTCTGGCTGTGGTTGGGAAATATGTCTAAAATAATTAGTTACTTTGTTCATAAACAGTCTTCAATACGTCCATCTCATTCGCAGTTCGTTCATGTCGCATCACTTCGGTGTGCAACATCGTATAACGCGTCCCTTAGTCTAGAAGGTTATCATGACCTGATTACAGAACGGTATGGTCGCCATCGAATTTTCAATCATTTCAAAATTCGTTCATGAAGTCCGTAAATAGTTCATAGAAAGTTGCAGCTACGTTCATTTCGTTTGCACACAGTTTAAAACAAGCTTTGAAGAACGCAATGGCAACTTGTTTGGTGTGATAAATATATTTTTGCTAACTCGTTCATAAGTAGTCTTTAATACGTTCTTAATCAGTTTAAACCCGTTTGCAATTAGTTCTACCTCGTTCTCAATACGTCCTCAGACAGTTCAAACGTCCCTAGTAGGATTGAATTACGACAGTTCCGTTCGTAGTACGTCCAGCTCGTTGGTAGTACGTTGTCACTCGTTCTAATTGTAGAATGTGACGACCACGAGAGCATTTTGAGCATGTTCTAAGTTCTAGAGGACCTACCCGTTCAAGTACGTTCGATGAAGTTTGTAAATAGATCCCAAACGGTTCTAAGTACGTCCAGTCCGTTCGTACACAGTTGAAGCCCGTTTTCGAGAAGCCCGTTTTCGTTTGGTGTGATAGTAGGGTAACAATATTAGTAATTCAGCGTAGTTTTACATTAAGAGTCGATTCTCACGACCAATCAAATCGAGAAGTTATGTATCACGTTTTTACTTACGGTATATGTCATACTCACCTGCGGTATATGGCATATTCCGCAGGTGATTATTACATATTCCGCAGGTGAGTATCTGGTATTCACTGTAATCATTGCATTGCATATTCACTGTGGAAAATGCCATACTCACCTGCGGAATATGCAGGTAAGTATGGTATATTCTCCCGTATCACAAATACCGCACAACCATGAATATCTGCCATATTCCGCGTAACAGCAGCGACACGTAAAGTTTTTAATTACGCAGACACATCCCTCTCTTAGGATAGCCCTAAATTTTGCAGTGATTTCTGTTGTCAAGTGTCTGACTTTCTGAACTGGTTTTCGTAAACAGGGTATACACCCATTCTCAATTAACTCGGCACATTTGGTGTCTCAAGGCTCAGTCTCAGTATTAACATTACTGACATGAATTTTTGATATGTATACAAATAGTATATATCTACCTAGCACGTATGTAATATATGATTTCTCAGTTCACATATTTTATATGTACTTGTACTTGAATAGGCCAATTCATAGTCATCATTTACGTTATAAAAATCAGGATAGTGTGTGTCATTATCTAGCATTTCTTATACGTAACATCCCAAATAAAGTGTAGACACAAGATGATCTCAGCTTCTTGTTAAATGATAGAAACGATCATTTTCACATTATCACCTTTTCAAAAATATTCCCTAGCCAATGTCGCCAGTCTATTTTATGTGTACCACCTTGTGCTATAAAATTAATCATATTATAAAAATGGTGAAAAATAATGTATTCAAACCTGGTTCAGGATCTATATGACCAAGTAATGGTAATGTCATATTCCATTCGGACTGCGGTGAATACACCTTCAGAAATATATACAGATATTAAATACACAGATATTCAACTCCACAGAATTCAATATTTGTATAGTATTGATTTTTTGGCTTTGAAAAGTATCGCTTGCTTAAACTCTCTATTTCCTGGCATACGTGTAAAAGTAAAAAGCGAAGTCGGCGACGCGAACTTTGTTCAATGAGAAACATAATTATGTCATAAACATTGAGTAAGTGTACATACATATTATCGTAAGATACAAGACAGTGATACTAGAATACGGATTTTTTAAAGTATGTTAAATATATTAATATTTATACTTATATTTAGGACTGCACTAAAATTATTATTTATTACACTTTGAATCCCAGCAATAACTCACCTTCCGTTATCTCACACATATATGGAAGAGATGTAGAACAAGGCTCTGTGACCCATTTGAATTCATCATTGGTATCTGCTTTCACACAATAGCTACTAAGAGCTGGTTCAGAACCTGCCCAGCTGACAAAGTCTGGGGCTGTTCCGTTATTCCAGCCAAGGCTTCCATGAACACTGGCATCATTGGACAGACCAATCCAAACATATCTTTAAAAAGGATAAAGGATAAAAACATAGGAGTCTCGTACCATTTGTGTCAATGCAAAACTGGCAGTGATAGGTATTCAGGTTACTGGTCTCGACAAATGCTTTGCTTATTTAGTAAACGGATGGTGAGATGTTTTTAATTTTTCCAGAGCTTTGTTCATCCAACATCCAAAGTAATCCACGCCTTTATTTGGCCAATATGCGGTCTTATTTGGGCTGGGTTTTTACCTAATAAGTATCACGAAAAAGATCAATAAGCCCCTGTGATGCAAATTACATGTTCACACCTTTTCAACTAAAACAGCTCATCCAAGCACATTTAAACCGCTAATTACGATGTGAACCTTGGCTAACCGCGTATGTCAACAGCGTCGGCTAGTTGCTAGTGCAGTGTACGACAGGAGTTCGATTGTAATAAACCTTGGTGTTTTTGAATAGAATTATGTACGTGTAAGTGCGCTTGGATGAGCTATTTTTGTTGAAAACACATGAGCATATAATTTGCATTGCAGGGCTTATTGTTCTTTTTAGCGATATCCGGGGAGAAAACCCATTAAAATATTACGCAATTCACTTGCACCGCGGGTATAAAAAATACAGCCATGGTCTTTGTTCATTATTTATAATTAGTTAATTACTGATAAAAAAGTAGCACAAAACGCGATATGCAAAAACAATACAGCGTAAACCACGCCCGGTGATAGTACAAAATGGATGGATGGGCGATTAGGCGATTTCTGCAAGAAAACTCAACAAATTTGGGAGATTTATTTTTTCAAAAGAAATTTACAACTGAATTGCCAAATGAATAGGCGCAGTGCATGGCAAAATATGTTAGGTCATCTAGTATTTTTTTGAACTGATACCCTTCAACATTGACTTTTGCACGTTGTTGATGATGCGCCTTTTAAATAGATCTCATATATTTGAAGGGTATCAGTTCAAAAAAATACTAGATGACCTAACATATTTTGCCATGCACTGCGCCTATTCATTTGGCAATTCAGTTGTAAATTTCACATTATAGAAGGGTATCAGTTCAAAAGAATACTAGATGACCTTACATATTTTGCCATGCACTGCACCTATTCATTTGGCAATTCAGTTGTAAATTTTCTCTTGAAAAAATAAATCTTCCAAATTTGTTGAGTTTTCTTGCAAAAATCGCCTAATCCCCCCTCCATCCATTTTGTACGATCACCGGGCGTGTAAACAACCATAAGGAAATCAAAGCTATATCTGCAACCCATTCTGCAACCCCGGAACCTTTATCACAATCCATACACCACAAAACCACGGAATATTCACATCAAATATCAAAACTTCTGATTAGTTTTTTCAGTAAAGCCTATTAACTAAACCCTCTTAATTTTGCTAGAGTAATCCTCTGGCCATAAAGTTTCCTAACAAAATTAAAGTCTAAATGGTATGCCCTACCGTTTTCGAAGAACAACTTTCGAAAAAAGCCTCGTTAGTTCTGATTCTACCTCAAGTTGTTATATATCCGTCTTATTGTTTTTTCATATACTTTCCTTGGAGTTAATACAAATAGACTTTAACATAATTTTTTCATATCAAAAGAATGTACACTCAATTTAAAATGTGGCTGTTTCGGGAGAAGGTGTCTGTTATTTCTTTCAAAAAGGGGAATGGTAAGTGTAGATTTTGATATCTCTATCGGATCAAACTATTTTGTCGTGGACATTATAGACTATTAGGCTTTGAAATTTTGACCATATCAAGCATGTTGGATATACAAGCTCAGCAATCTGATATATGAATACTTCCTATATCGTATGTGAACTCAACTGCCCAAAGATATATTATATCTCGAAATATGAAAGCCGAATGTCCAAGGAAAAGTAACTAAGGTTAAGATCTTAATCGTTCTAGTTAGGATTTACAGAAATAGCCTTCTTGTTCATCGGACGCGTTTTGACAAAATGTAACATTGAAAAGTGTAGATGAAGCCTAAAACGAATTCAATAAAGATCAGATGCAGATAAAATAGGATATCTTCTAATAATCGTGATTTTATCTACATACCCGACATTATTTGGAGGTGGATTATGTTTTAAAAATATTTGTTCATCCGGTAGATCAATTTCGGCAAGTTGTCCACCCAAGGCTTTGCATTTTGCTTGAGCATCGGCAAATGACTGAGTATCCGAGGAGTCAGATATCCAATAGCATGTTGTATATGGGTCATAGTAAGTAACAGTTTCCGCTGGAAATAAACACATATTAAAACAAATGAAATGTAAACACGTATGCTAAGGAGCCTTCTGCCACTTGATATTTTTGTGTAGGCCTCACAATCTGTAGAAATCACGCAGAATTTAAGGAACCTACGAAGTTTTAAAAAGAACTTCTTTTACAAATTTAATATTATCTTTAAATGACAACAAACTAATGAGAATTTACAAAATGCGTATTTTAAATAAAAAAATTAATAAAACATGTTTTTTTAATTCAAGAATTTAATTTTCTAATTATTTTTCTAATTTCCTTTGAAAAACAAATAAATTAAAAAATATAAGAAAACTTTATCAAAGCCGTAAAGACTTTTATAGATCTGATTCATTTTTGGGGGGATTAAAGATAATTAATGAAAATTGAAATAGTGTTTGGAGACACTTGCATAAACTGAGATTGGGGTCATTTAATTTTACTTCCTGCGAAAGCTATTTGGATTTTGATATAATAGCTTTCCCACGGAGCATTTGGACAGCTCAATGATCGTGACCTTTGAAATCGAATTAAGTCGATCCGCGGCTTACATTTGGTCTCTAACTGTGTCTTACATCAGTATCATCAATCCGTGTAAGTATTGGAGCGCTGGAGTACTTCTTTTTCGATCAAGACTTGTAATTGTTAGTCGATTGAATCGTTTACTGCCAAATTCCAATATGGCGGTTTCTGCTCGGACATTTTCGTAAATCTCCGGAGGTTGTCCGAACCTAACTAATTCTCAAAATTCATTTCGTTCGTTGCGTATCTCGCACCTAGCAAACCGCCATATTGGAAATAGGTCTGTAAAACTTTAACTCGATGAACAATTTACAAGTCTTGATCGAAAAAGAAGTACTCTAGCGCTCCAATACTTACACGGATTGATGATACTGATGTAAGACACAGTAAGACACCAAAAGTAAGCCGCGGATCGATTTAATTCAATTTCAAAGGTCACTATTGATCAGCTGTTCACTTCTCCGTTTGAGAGCAATAAGTTTCAAAATCTAACATGGCTCTCGAAGTGAGTAAATTTAATTGATATTGTAACGGTCTGCTTAACCAAATTATTAATGCATAAAGCTTTTGCAGTTGCGGTAGTATGATAATTTTAAGTCTATTTCACTGAAAGACAAAAACGGAGCAACACTTTACATATGAATCCTGTGTGGTAGACTAATTGGAAATAAACCGGTTTTGTAACTACGAAGAAGCAAACCACGACTGAAAACGCAATTCGAACGCGAGACACGCATCATTCGGTAATATAATAGACCAATGGCATCCCAGCAAGCTTGGGTAACTGCAACATGATTGGTTAAATGCTTGCTAGCATATTTCTGAAAGGGACCGCAGAAAGCGGGAGTTCGGATGATATCCATCAGACGATATCTGGAGGCACGACTAGAAGGTAGGGCTATGCACATTTTCTAGGTGAAAGGATTCCTGTTTATGGACTAGATGTGACATCGGGATAGAGACTTCATCAACGACGATAGACAGCAATGAGCAACCTAAGATAAAGGATTCGTAAGCTGTGCATCTACAGCAGTCCGTTGGGGTGCCGTAGCAGCTGGAATTCGCTGATCGAAGAAACTATCACCGTGGAATTTCAACACACAGTCAGCCAAGTTCCCCGCCATCTCGAGCAGAACTTTCCACGCCCACTTGAAGGACCATTTCCCACAACCAAGTGCCTTATATCGTCTCGCATAGCTTTTATTATATTTTCATAGACATTTTGTACAGACATTTCAGTATTAGTTTAAAAGACATTCTTGTTTAGACATTTACATTTCTGATTAGATTAAACTTGTTTGTCATAAATACTCAGTGCAATAAATAATACTGCTTTGATTGCAATGTCCTATTGATTGATTTTAAATAAATAAACCTTGTACATATGTTATATATCACTTGTCATGTTGAATGTGTGTTGCATGTTTTACAGGGTGGTCAAAAAAATGGAAACCCTGCATTTTCCTCATATCTTTGCCATTTTAAGAAATTACTCCCTGATATTTCACATATTTGTGAATAATTCAATTTCCTACTACCCTACCATATTTCATGACCATCAGACTGATAGTCACAATTTTACAGCACTTTGAACAACATGCTTCAGGTTTGGCATTATTGCGCTGTAGGCAAACCTGCACAGTTGTCAATGATCCAAATGCATTCCTCAGCAGGTATGGCCTGAATGATACAGATGATCTTACTTTTGAGGTCTGCAATTGTCCTGAGGTCATTCTTATACACTCTATCTCTACCATGTTCCCATAGGTAGGGACATTTTTAACGACATGTACAGGTTGGTCTTCAGCGCAATAGTGGCCACCGGGAATGTTCTTGCTGTAACACTGTGACTATTAATCTGATGGTCATGAAATTAGGTAGGCAAATAGGAAATTGAGTGATGTACAAATGTGCAAAGTTATTTCTTAAAATGACAAAGATATTAGGAAAATGGTATTAGGGTTTCTAGTTTTGTTTTGACCACCCTGTACTTGATCTATTAGATTCTGTCAAAAAGTCCCATTCCCTCCCCGTTCGTCCGGTTACAATATTGTGTATTTTTGAGAAAAATAACCTCACATTTATAGCTGAGAAAGTTATTTAACACATACATTATTTAGAATTGCTTTAATATGATTCTCTGTAATATTATGTACTTCAAATTGTGAAAAATGGGAATTGGTATATTTAGCGGATATAATGAAAGTAGATACCAATACGTAGATATGTTAATCTTCGGTCAAATATCGATGCGCTATAGTGTGCCATCCTTCGCTCTTGAAAAGGCTTCATTTATTCCTCAAATAGAATGAAGTGAAGTACACTTGGAACAAGAATACAGTGTGCTACCAGCTCTTTTATTGTCCTAGAAATTTCAGCCGTTCGTCTTCAGTGGTTATGCTTTATAGAAGAAGGGGATGCAGCATATAAGATATCATTGGTAGTTCTAGGGCTGGTTTCTGATACACATATTTCAAACAAGCTTGTTTGGTAAGATGTCCGGTGTGTATCATCATCTTCAAGAAGAATTATATTGTGCTTCGAAAACAAAATTGCCAGCATAGAATTCAGTACTTATAATGCTTATAAAAGTTTATTCCGCCAGGGTTATGAAGATTCTAACTATATCTCGTTCAATCGTGAACAATGAAAACCTCACCAAGGTCTACAAGGTGACTATGTGATATCGCACTAAAATAAAAATGCCTACGCATCCTTGACTGTATTTAACAAAGTTACACACTCTTCGACACAATAAAGGAGTGGTATCGATATTGTGAACTTTTGGACAGGCATTTCTCTTAAACCAGGAATCAAAACATTCTGAAAAATTTACACATCTTCAATTTAATCTTTTGGATGGTAACATTATAATTTGAAATATATATAGATACTTTTTTCTATATGGTTTTAGAAAACACATCAAACACTCCTTTTGTTATTGGTATCATATGTTCGGAATGAAATGAAACATCTATCCGAACCTCATTGGAACAAAACGACATAAACACAACGTGCACAAAGGAAAGTTTGGTTGGCTTTAAAAAAGTATCTTGTTAATGAAATAAAAGGTTAATCTTAATGTTTAGCTATTTTGGGGGGTTTTGTTTTAAGTTTTTACATACTTTTTGTTAAATCAACAAAAATTTCCTTTGTATAACTATAATATTGAGAGGTCTAAGAAAATGTTGTATATGCTATTTTGTTCCAACAAGGTTCGGAAAGACATTTTATTTCATTCTCAAGAATTGGTAGAAAGGAACAAAAAACAAGTGCAGTAAAACAAAAAATGTTAACAAAAACAGTTATATAAAATATAGTACTATATAAATAATTTTTGCATTAAATTGTTGCCAATCAGTCAACATTACAAAAAGGACCGTGTTTTTTACAGAATGTTTTCAATAATTGGTTTAAGAGAAAAGATTTTTGAATTCAGTCACAATAGAAAAATTGGTTTTACAAGGTAGTACCGCATATTATTTATAGTTACTTTATTTTTCAAATGATGCCCTTTTCTTGACTACATATAGAACCATTGTGGTACAAAAGCTACTTACTCCTTTGGGTAGATGGGAAGAACCAATAATTTGATGCATCAAGAGAATTGTCAGCGGTACAACCTATGTGCCCCCACCCATCACACTGCAATGTTTTGAAGTTGTAATTATACGTTTTACACAGAGAATCTGCTTCACAGGCACTGTCACAGGCTGCAAGGCTTGCAAAAATGCCTGTTGCACCGGGTATTGGTGTCTGACCCAGACATTGGTGCCTCATACCTCTGTTAAGTGAATCTGTCAAATCTCCTGAAATAAAAATCGGAAAATACAAAATGGAAGTGGATCTATATAGTGTAATTATCACAAGGTACAACCTGTATAGAACTTCCATCAATTGACTTCTTAATATAGAGTTCACGTTTCACGTTCATACACAGTATGCTAGATATTTTTTATAAAAAATAGCTTTTCTAAAAACAACCTCAAATGATGATACAAAATTATTCTGTTCGTTTGGTCGTTTGGTCACAATCAACAGTACATCCAAAGTTTACACTCTCCTTATACAATTTCAACAGAGCAGTCTAAAATTGCTTTGTAAGTCCAAAGATTGTTTGGATGATGGAATCCACTATTTTGAAATGAACACATTGGTAACAATTTTTTTTTATTTCTAGGACTGATTCATTATGTCTGCTTGTCAAGCTAAAAACCACATATCCTATGCTATCCATTGTTTTCAGCATAATTGATATCTTCAAAATTAGACGTTCAATAATTCTACATTTGAAGAAGTTTTAGACCCCTTGTTGAATAATCTTTTCATGCAATAAAAAACAGAAAAGGAAGATCCTCTTTTGAGTAAATAGGTCCAACATTTTGAAAAGATTGTTGACATATAGTTTATAGGCGTCCGAGAAATTTCAAACCATGGGCTAATAGCTTTGCAGCATATAAGATATTATCCTACACTTAGTGTACTAAATGTATAATAACATGAAAAAATAAATTTGATATTTATTGGCAAAATGAATATCCGGAGGATATCGTTACGATATACTCCGGGCGGAGGATATCGTGACGATATACTCCGGAAAACCCAATATGCGGAGGATATTGTGACGATAGTCTCCGCTTGTTGATTTCCCGCCAAATTGACTCTATTTGGCATGGAATTAATTTTACAATGATATTATACATTCAGTACACTCCTTGTAAGTGTAGGATAATAAGAACATCCTATGATTTTTTTCAGAATATCATTTTAATCTACTCGGTGATATTGATATATGCACTCGTTCGCTTCGCTCTCTCGTGCAGATATCAATACCACCTCGTAGATAAAAATGATATTCCTCAAAATCATAGGATATCCAATAACTATTAGTAGTTCTATATCTGGTTTTCTAATACATATTTTAAACAAGCTCGTTTGGTAAGATATTTGCAATTGGTGTACATCATCTTCTTAAGGAAGAATTCTGCTGTGCGTATCGTAACTAAAATTGCCAGCATAGTATTCAGTGCTAATAATGCTAATAAAAGCTGAACCATGCTTTCCTAAAATCCAACCAATAAAGTATTGGGAACAGTCAACAGTATCTCAGTAGGGTCAACAATACACTAGTGGTGGTCAGCAGCGCTTCATAGCATACAGTCAACAGTGATTTACAAGCGGGCAACAGTACCATTAAGACGTAAATATGTAAGTCAAACTTACTTGCCCAATGCATTTCATAGCATGAACAGTCGCTGGAAGGCGTAACGGGACAATATCCATTTACATCTACAAAACAAATATAAAATTAGTACCGTGGGTACTGTAGACGGGTAGGAAGGAGGGGTTCCCATGCACCCGAAAGATGTATTTTTTTAATGTACATTTTTGTAATCCTAAAGGTCCAAACTAAAGATTTTTGCATGTTCCCAGAATGAAATATTGTCCCATGGTATCCATTGGCGGCCATCTTGTCGGCCATCTTGAATTTTTGAAAGAGTTGATGTTAATTATCTCAAAGTACAATAACTTCCACAGTTTTGAGAATTGAAAGCTGTAAGTGGTACCAAAATGAAGCTATTATAGTATCCTATATTATCAGATGCAATAATTATGCAAATTGCCTCATTTGCATAAAATGTGACATCATCAATCATAATTCTTGCCTCTTTACAACAGTATTGCATTATACCTTTCCGCCTAAGTGATCAGTCTTAGTCATTCATGAACATAAATGAATTTAAATATATAGGTACATTAATTTTGAACATATTTGCAATTGAAAGTTTTGGAAAAACATTGTCAGACACATGATTATGTAACTGAAAAGGGGCGTGGCACTTCTTGCGAAAGAATTGATGTTAATCATTTCAAAGTACAATAACTTCCACAGTTTTGAGAATTGAAAGCTGTATGTGGTACCAAAATTAAGCTATTATAGTATCCCATATTATGAGATTAATAATTATGCAAATAGTCTCATTTGCATAAAATGTGACATCATTAATCATAATTTTTGCCTCTTTACAACGGTATCGCACAATACCTTGCTGCCTGAGTGACCAGTCTTAGTCATCCATGAACATAAATGAATTTAAATATATAGGTACATTAATTTTGAACATATTTGCAATTGAAAGTTTTGGAAAAAACATTGTCAGACACTAAGTTATAACACTTTACATGATTATGCTACTGAAAAGGGGCGTGGCATTTCTTGAGAAAGAGTTGATGTTAATCATTTGAAAGTACAATAACTTCCACAGTTTTGAGAATTGAAAGCTGTAAGTGGTACCAAAATGGAGCTATTATAATATACTTATAGAAAATGCAATAATTATGCAAACGCAAGCTCTATCATTTTGGGCTTTTTTCAATGGTAACGACCAATATCTCTCCCTCTGGGTTAAAGTCTTGGTTATTCATGAGCATTTATGATTTTTGATATAGGTACATTATTTTGAACATATTTGCAATTGAAATTTTGGAAAAACTATAAGAAATTAAGTGTTGACACTTCACACGATTATGTAACTGAAAAAGGGGGGGGGGGCACTTCTTGTTCAAAATGTTAACTTCTAAACACTAATGTCAACTTCAAAGGCTGAAGCTGCTCTAGCAGAGTCATGTAGATAGAGCTCAATGTTGCTTATTGGTGAAATGTTGGCCAATTTTTGCAGCTTGTGTGCACCGCTTACGAGTACATGATGTGTTCATTATGATAGTGTAATTCCAATATGACAGCACAATACAAGTCAGGCTATTTTATTGTCACATATGCAAAAGTCGATCTGATGAGACATGTTAGAAGTGGTAATGGTGAATAATGCCCAGATCAAAGAAACGCAAGATAGATATTGAAGATAGGCCCAGATCAAAGTATGGGCATCCTCAGCCTCAATCATGACGCCATCTTTATTGTCCATCAGTGGGAGCTGTAACCCAAATACTGAGTATATGATTTAATGTACGTGTCATTCAGTTGCCATGCACTTGGGGCAGTTGGCAGTTTCTTCCTTGCCCCAAAGTCTGAGGTTTGATGGAGTTGAGACCAGGTCAAGGAAAGCTCTTAATAGGAAATTGAACTCCCCTCAGTCCATGGACCAAAGGTCATTCCATTTCAAGAATTGCTGAAGTGAGGGTTCCCAGGTAATGTCGTAAATCTAGAAAGGCCACTGAAATTGGGGAGTAATGTCATAACACCCCGATATATGACTTGAGTCAATGGCTTTAAGCCACTTGTCCAGGTCCCTTGAGACTACAGCTGTATTGTTCAAACCACGCAAGGTTTTGTCATAGTTATTCTCTAGACATTTGATTCTTTTATCATGCACTGTTGGTATTTGCTTGCCCTTTATTTTGAACTGCATTGGAGAAAGCTTGCCATCAACCAAAACCATGCTTCTTGACCTGGTTGGCTTTTAACTTCATGCAAGTCCAGTTTGCCATTCTTTCCATAGCTAATAGAACCCATCTGGTACTCACTACTGAACGGGTCATAACTGTGATGTCATCCATGAAAGCTCTGTATGGTAGGTGTTTTGCACCTTCATTTGCTTGTGGAACCTTACACTGCATCATCCCTGCATTTAGAGTTCATGGATGTTACGAAGAGAACTACTGATACAGTGCAGTCTGCCACTATGCCTTTCTCCGAACTCTGCTAATTAGTGGTATAATTGCAAAATGTATTGTGCAACTTCAAGGAGTTTGTGTTTCCCATTGTCAGATTGACTACATCTGTTGCTTTTGGTACGTGAAAGTGAACTGTACCTCTAGTATCAGTTGGTGAGGGACGCTAGGTAGGCCTTCTGTCCAGCCAAACTACTGATTCTCTTTCTTGGCTTCCTTCACAAGTTGGCTTATGCTGCTATATGTACCCCATGATGTCTTGGGAGACCACTTTCTGAATGCTTGGCAGGCCACTAGGAAACAACTTCGACGCTTGACCATAATGGCCCAGAAGATCTTTCCCTCAGCATCCAATAATGATGTCTACCTGAACTGGTTCAGTCGCTCAAATTTTAGCTCCTTTGGAATGAAGCACCTTTCCGCCTAAGTCCAAGTCCTTGCTAGATTTTTTGTTCTGGATGCTTGTTAGCAATCGCCATAGATGTATTAACAGCTTTCCGCAGTTCTTGTAGACCCTGTATGTCACACCTTTTAGACCTGAGGCTGAGCCTTCCTGATGATTGTTCTTACCTCATCAAGCTTGAAATCTGACTGGTCAAACGGTTTTGATGATAAATCTGGTGGGATGTCAATTGGAAAATTACCCAATGGCATCTCTCGATCTGGGTCACTGTGTGCTGCCAAAGTATTTGCTTCTGCTTGATCCTGCGTACATGCCATATGGGCACTCTTTTGGTTCCCTAACAAGTTTGATGTGAGCCTATAGAGATTTTCAAAGAATGTCTTCCTGGTCCTATGCTTCTCTTTTCCTGAGTGTTTCTATCTTTGGAAGAAGAATCTTTGGATGACTAAGATGAAGTAATCTCTTAAGAAGCATCTGTTGAAGCTCTCTTGCCAGTGATGAAGCCGTCCACTAACACTGCCGGCTTCATCTCTCCTTCCCAAGAGAAGCTTTTGTCTTCTACTTGGCCCAACACAATGGTGTTTCACAGATGTTTCCTCCACTCCTTGTCCTCGCATCTGGGATGGAAATCGTTCTAACTTGGATAAGAGGTAACATAGTGAAGGGGCTGGGCTCTGCATCCCACTTCTATTGGTTGCATAACTGCATACCACCCTCTTGTCATCAAATAGGTCTTGGATTTTTAAGCTGATGAGATATTTTAGTTGGTCTTCTGAAGGTACCGTGAGCTCATTGAAGATGATGGTCCTACTGTGTTTTGACATCAGTTTTTGGGAGAGGTCAGTTGAGAGTCCAGTCGGATGTCTTGGATAAAACATTGGACTGAAGTACAGGCATAATACATATTGAGTTAATAATTATATAGCTTTAAGAACTAAATACTGTGGGTACCCTTTTCAGTTCACTGCCTATCCTTAAATGATATGGGGATATGTGGTCATTCGTATCTGTACAGTACTTAGTTCAAAAGCGATACAGCTTATATATCTTTGGCTGAAATTTAAATGTCTGCCAAACAGACCAACAAGAATTTCTGAACAAGCTAGGAATAAGGGACATCACTGGGCTACTTTCTAAAAGTCAAAAGCTATATTTTACACCCAGGGGGTTCACTATATATAAACCTTGACGGGGGTACCTCTTTTAACATTTGGTATGGCAATGGATCCAAATTTTAGGATCTGGAATGAGAATGCCCCCAAAATATGACTTTTGAGATATGACAATGGTCGGATTTCTCTACTTTGGGGTACAAGAATGGTCATGGAGAATAGGTTACCTCTCACTTGTGGTATGGGATTGGTCTAGTTTTTACAAATGTCCTTAATTTGAGGTTGTTTTGGATCATTTTCCTAAAAGTTCTGCCTTCTTCCAGGGGCTTTAGACATTTTGCATTCCCTTGGTCTTATATTTTTGGGATATTTGGAATGGCATTAGTCCTATATTTGGACATTTGATATAGCATTGGTCTTATATTTGGATATTTGGTATGGCTTTTGGGCATTATTTTGGTTGGTATGGGAACACATTGAAATTTGAGATTGGTATGGGAACATAATGATATCTGAGGGCTCAGCCTAGGACCCCTACAAAATTGTGTATTCATTCAGTGAACCCCTGGGTATTTTACAAATGATACATTGACTATATAATAACATTACAGATTTTCAACAAGTGCCACGCCCCTTTTCAGAACAATAATCATTTGAAAGGTCATACCTTAATTTCTGACAATGTTTTTCTAAAACTTTCAATGCAAATATGTTCAAACTTTCAATTGCAAATATGTTTAAAATGAATGTATATATTTAATATCTTTTATTCATGAGAGACCAAGATGGTCACTCAGAGGAAAAGGCAATATGCATTATGTTGAAAAAGGGCAAAAATAATGATTGATGATGTCATATTTTATGCAAATATGGTAATTAACATAATTATTGTATCTTATAATATAGGATATTGTGATAGCTTCAGTTTGGTACCACTAACAGCTTTCAACTCTCAAAACTGTGGAAGTAATTGTACTTTGAAATGATTAACATCAATTCTTTCGCAAGAAGTGCCACGCCCCTTTTCAGTTACATAATCATGTGTCTGACAATGTTTTTCCAAAACTTTCAATTGCAAATATGTTCAAAATTAATGTACCTATATATTTAAATTCATTTATGTTCATGAATGCCTAACACTGATCACTCAGGCGGAAAGGTATAATGCGATACCGTTGTAAAGAGGCAAGAATTATGATTGATGATGTCACATTTTATGCAAATGAGGCAATTTGCATAATTATTGTATCTGATAATATAGGATACTATAAAAGCTTCATTTTGGTACCACTTACAGCTTTCAATTCTCAAAACTGTGGAAGTTATTGTACTTTGAGATAATTAACACCAACTCTTTCAAAAATTCAAGATGGCCGACAAGATGGCCGCCAATGGATACCATGGGACAATATTTCATTCTGGGAACATGCAAAAATCTTTAGTATGGACCTTTAGGATTACAAAAATGTACATTAAAAAAATACATCTTTCGGGTGCATGGGGACCATACCTTCCTACTAGACTACTGGGCTCACATGGTTTTGCTCAAAAGTGAAAATAAAAAAAACGGATATAATTTTTTGCCGATTTTTTGTAAAAAAATTATTTCATCAGCTACTCTTTACAAAGACATGGCTTTTTACAATGCAGGAAACCTGAACTTATTTGTAAAGCTAGGATATGGGCCAAAAGTGAATTTCCCGAGACAAAAATGGTGGCCATTTTGAAAATAGGCGAAATTTTGAAGCAGGAGTCACAGGTTTTTTTTCTTTATTGATGTTGAACAAAAATATTTTAAAACGGGAATCCTATCTACAGAGGATTTAGAAAGAGCAAAGTGTTGACAGACAGAGGTTTTAAAACTTGCCACTATTTTGGACTGACTGAGAGACAGATTGACAAATCAATGTTAACTAAAATGGCTGAAAATAAAAGAAGGACATGATTTTTTGCCGATTTTTGTAACAAAATTATTTCATACAACTTCTCTTTACAATGAAATGGCTTTTTACAATGCAGGACACCTGACATTATTTGTAAAGCTAGGAAATGGGTCAAAAATGAATTTCGCGAGACAAAAATGGCGGCCATCTTGAAAATAGGCGAGCTTTTGAACCAGGGGCCAGAGGGGAGTTTTCTGTATTGATGTTGAACAAAAATAACTTAAAACGGGAATCCTATCAACAGAGGTTTTAAGGCAAATGGTTCAAAAGTGGATTCCGCGAGACAGATTGTTAAATCAATGTTAACTAAAATGGCTGAAAATTAAAAAATTGAAATAATTTTTTGCTGATTTTTTGTAACAAAATTATTTCATACAACTACTCTTTACATCAACATGGATTTTTACAATGCAGGACACCTGAAATTATTTGTAAAGCTAGGAAATGGGTCAAAAGTGAATTTCGTGAGACAAAAATGGCGGCCATTTTGAAAATAGGCGAGCTTTTGAACCAGGAGTCATAGGGGAGTTTTCTGTATTGATGTTGAACAGAAATAACTTAAAACGGGGATCCTATCGACAGAGGTTTTAAAACGTGCCACTATTATTGACGGAAAGTGGATTTCGCGAGTCAGATGGACAAATCAATGTTAAGTGATCTGATAAAAATACTATAGCGGGTCACTAGTCGCATTTTATGTACTCCAAATTGTAGAAAATGGGTTTAGTTTTTACCACTTTTACTCCAAATTGTAGAACATATCAAATATTGTGGCTCTATATTTTGATACCGGCTCCTTTAATTTAATAAAAAGATTCATCAAATTAATTTAATTGATTAAATATCTTATGACATTCACCTGCAATACTGAATGTTTTATTTTCCTATAATTTGTTTTAACATCACTTTCGCTTAAAGGCAGAATCTATCTGTAGGGGGTGACAAAATTACAAGCAACATATATAATTGACCTACCAATATATATCCCTTACAATATCGAATACAATATCTCCAAAAAGATTCACAATATGTTATAAATTGGTGAGTTATTAATGATTCAAAGTGCAAAAAATGAGTGAAAAATGTTTAAATTCTCCCAAATGATAAGAATGGTAACCATAGAAAAATAATACATTATTGTAAAAATCTTTAATTTTCCTGGAATAAAGTATGCACTTTTGTGATTTTTAGAAAATAGACATGGCAAGGAATGACATGAGCTGAACAAAAATATTCTGAAATTGAAACAATTTTTTGTTTAGCCTGCTCGCTATATCTGATTCTCTCTTTGATACAGAATAAAACTCATAACAGTGAATATTCCGTTAATTTTGGTCGAATGGCTGTGCCACTTTCAAAATTGATATTCCCCGATACCAAGGGAGGGGGCATCCAAGTAGAAGTGTTTACAGTTAAAATGGAACATCGGAGTGCAATTTGTCATAATGAAACAAACCTCCAATAAATCTCACACAATAAACTGATATTTTATAATTTTTATTTTTTGCTGCAGTTCTGTTCAAACATGTCAAAAGAAGACTAGAAAAGTCTTATCAAAATGCAATTTACACATTTATACTTCCATTTTATCATTGTTGTTTCATATCATCAAAACTGTATCCAGTTACATAGGAGTGTGTTTTAACATGAGTGAACATTGAACATGATGAAAATGATAAGTTGCTTACCTTTCATTGTCACAATAGTAATAAATAAGTATATTACAAAAATATGATCCATTTATCAGACTGAATATTCCTTTTTATGCTCACATGAAATATCACGTATTATCCTTTGATTCAAATTTAAGTTTTAAGAGAAGCAGGCTTCATATTTGGTTGGTCGTTTTGTTCTCGAATCATTGTATTATGAATATTAGAAGAGATGATCCTTTCTCAGCGTGTATCATTATACCAATACTTTAACCAATGCAGAGGAACCTTTTGCTTACTTTTCAGGTAAATATGTTGCATGATAAATGTATTGATCAGACAAAATACTGTCGATAGGAAAAATCATTGTCGATGCTTTCTTTCAAGTGATTATTGCCTAATCAATATTGTAATAATCCACTTCGTCCATACATGTATTTCTATACAGTATTGAGAATCTATTTGTTTCCCATGGTGTCGTCGTTTGAGACACCCAAACTTTACAGGGTACGGTCCTAGATTAAAGCAATTAAGAAAACTGGTTAACACATATAGGAAATCAAACAAATAAATTAGGAGTCTTTGAAAACCACCTTTCTATTCTCTAACAATGTGACAATACCACCTTTTGTAGCAAACCAATAATACAAAATACAAACAAAACACAAAATGTAATAATCAATTATTTGTATTTTACTTGAATATAAAGACGGAACTTAATTGTTTGAGGTAAAACATTAATCAATAACATTTTGACAACGATTCAGTAGCTCCCTTTAACTGTTGCAGAAATGATAAGTCAGCCAATAACAAGTAACGAGAAAATATCTCTTGGCTATATGGAACAATAAGAAATGTGAATGAATGTGATAATTGATATTTTAATCAAGCATTTCAAATTATCTTGATAAATATATTCATAAAAATATTCATACCCCCATGTTTAATAGGATACTGACTGAGAAATATACCCCAGGGTTTTTAGCACATTATAACTCATTAACAAAGAGACCAAATAGCTAAATAACATAACTAAAAAAGCTTATCAAATACGTATACGATGATAGTAGCCGGGACAAAACAAGTCATTCACCTCGGTTTTCTTAATAACTTTTTCAATTCTCAATAATTTTCAGCCATTGGAAAAACTTTAAAGCATTCCTAATCCTAACATATAAAATCATTTTAACTCATAATCCATTTCATTATAATTACAGCTTTTTAAAAGTGATGGTCAACTTCTGCTATAGGACGATTTTTCTGTTTTGCTGAAAATTGAGGACAAGTCTGGTAGTTGTTGACTTTGAGTGCTAGCTTATGTACTAGCTTATGTACATGAATTGTCACTCATGTATTTCATCTATATCAAAAAATTTATTAGTTAAAATGGAATAATAAAATAATTTAAAATTATGTTTAATCAATATATGTGCGAGCGAGTTGGATCTAAATTGTGTACTATATTTGGATATATCTGTATTAGATGCTGTTTTACTTTATGCAGATTGCGTTCGTTGCGACTATTGGGAAAAGATTAGACAATAGCCAGTGTTTGGGTGAGTTGGCCATTTTGTTTATCGAGATTGACGCCATATTGGATATAGTCCTGAGTAAGGACACTAGCGGTGATTTGGTTTTCTGTATTAAAAGTCATTTTCTCCTTCCCTACCCCATTGGAGCGCCATCTGGCGTTTGGGAAGTGAATCGGGACTAAATATTTATAAGGTAGGTCCTAATTTATGTCAAAGTTCAGTGGAAAATCTCATTCTAAGCTGGCGTTGGAGTGATTTTGACCTTGGTGATTTTACCAGAATTCTCTTAGAAATCTGACGATAGAGGGGGTTAGTGTCTTCAAGTTTATTTATCTCAAAAATTCGGTAGACAACCCATGGTAAGATTGTTACAGCTGGCTAGGCGAGTCTCTCCCGAACACTGTGGTATGTTGCACTAGGCTTGGATACTAGTCTTTAATAAGATACAGGGTAAAATGTTATAATGGCCACCAATGGGAAACTCTTCTGTAGTCTTCAACCATTGCCCTATTTGATGTCTGCCATCTTGGTTTCTTCTACCCACGATTCCCAAAGTCAGCCATCTTTTGGTGAAAATGGGGGCAACATCTACATTTGATAAGATAGCTCGAATTCTTCTTTCAGATGATGAAATTAGGATTAATTGCTAAAGGAATATTGGAATAGCAGTTTGAAAATATTGCTTCCAACTTTTTACACTTCACGGGATAAAATCGCTTAATTTGGTGAATGTTGGGGAGCAGGTCGTTCTTACAAGAAATTTCAAGATTTTCACACGAATATATTTTTAACTGAAAAGCTGCTTATTCGCAGGCAGAGAGAATAAACCAACAAATGTAATGACAATGTCAATCGTACTTCTGCACAAATAGATACTCATTAAAATATTCTATGCTGTGCACTCAATAGTTGAATAGTAAATATAAACGAATTTTACACTGTACCTGGTCTGTTACTAGTGTCAACCAAAAATTTCTATAGACTTTCTAAAGGTTTTATGTCCTGTTGCAGAACCCCAGTTTTCGATGTTTGAAAATATAGTAATATAGACAGTTCTTGATTTGTTTTTACAAATTTAGCAAAATCCCTTGGAGTTTTAGTAAGTTATGGCGGGGTTAAACAGGGGTCCTTTTATGAGCAAAAGTTCTATCAAAAATCCAATTTAAAAATTCTCTTTGAAAAGCTCTCTCTATATTTAACTACACACATTTCTACTAGAAAAACAATATATGGTCATTTATTGGTTAATTTTGGCTATATTCAGGTCAATCAATTTAAGTACAGGGTGGCCCCAAAAAATGCAACCCTCCATTTCTTCAATATTTTTCTTAAATGGAGGTAAATTGCTCTGAGATTTGGCACAAGGACTTCGTTCAATGTGGGATCCTCTGGCAAAGTTTTAATAATCATAGTCTTATATTGATAGAGTTATGGTTGTTTCAAAATATGCTCCAGATGTCATCAATTTCGCTGAAAATACTCTTGCAATGTTCAAGGAAAACTGTTCATAACACGGATGCATTCTTCCCCATGGGTATGGCTCAAACTTTTGCAGCCATTGCTTGTTGGAGTTCTGCAATTGCGGTAGGGTTATTTTCATACTCATATCCTTTAAATAACCCCATATATAGAAGTCAGGGGCATTGAGATCAAGACTATGGGATGACCATGGGTTCTCCGTCCTAGGAGAGATAATTTTCTCATAGAAATGACTAGTGAGCCAGGCTATGCTATCATTAGAAGTGTCCATCCTTCTAGAACCACTGTTCTTGTCTATTGAAGCCTCTATGTCACTCTAGAACTGCCTAGAACTTCCTGGGAATGCCAATATTGCGCTGTGTGTTAACAGTAACAGTGTTGCCATTATTAACCTCAAACCAAAAGGGGCTGATGCATTTAATAGAATGAAGGGGCCTTTGAAGCACTTCATCTGGAATTTGTTCAGAAAGAAGGGAATGTGATTCATCCGAAAACCTAACATTGGAAATGGACGACATTTGGAGCATATATTGGAACGACCATAACTCTATCAATATAAGAAATGGAGGGTTGCATTTTTTGGGTCATCAAGTGTATATGGAGGCAATCAAGGGTTTGATCAAGGGTCTATTTTATATTTCAAGTTTTTTATATGCATTTATTTTGTTTCATAAAAATCTGCCCAAGGTATTCACTTTTAATTTTTAGAAATGCATAGTATCATGCAAAACTATACCCGAAAAGTGTTAAGACACATTGAGAGAGTTTTAGATTTTCTTAAAGATGCATTATGCCATAGGTGACTCCCCCAGACAATCAATGATGTCCTATTATTATTGCTCATATAATATCTCACATACCATGGATATATCTTGAGAATAACTTTTGGGTATATTATTGCCGAAATATCGGAAATAATCAACAGAACAACCAAACTCCAGAATTAAACACAATAGATTCCTCGACTAGCGAGGGGAATCCCCATTGAGTCACAGAAGTGCCTTGAAACAGACAGCCAATCAGGTTTATGATAAACAAATTCAACGACCAATCAGATAACAGGAGGACTTTCCCGGTATATTCAAACCTCAGATTGAATTAATTTCTTCGAAAATAATTAGATCGGCCAGCACAATCGCAAAATTATCACTGAAAGAGGGGGATTTGGGACTTCTTCTTTGGTAAGAAGACGGGTATATATGTGGTGAAACTCAACATGCAAAAAAGTCCAGAGGGGTATTGATTATGCTTTCCTATGGCATAGTGCCTCTTTAAAAAAATATTTTGTTACCGGCGTAACTAATTTGTATTTTTGAACACTTTCTCGATTTCCACAGATAAAACAATTTTAACAATAATTAGATATCATTTATATTAGTTCTTAGAAAAATAAAAAATAAAAACTTAGTCTTATTCACTACATTTTTGATTTTTACCATCAAAAAATCTGATGATAACCAGTAGGAAGATCAAAGATTAAAAAGAAAATATGTGATGGTAACCAGTGAGAAGATCAAGGAAAAAAGGAAAAATAAAAGATATAGTGTATTGTCTTATCTGATGACTACAACATTCGATAACCTATATTTCATTTTTTCTGATATTATAAGGTTCTAAACATAAATAATTTAGCATATGTAGAATAATTGTGTCAACCGTGTAGAAATTCCTTGTGAAAATATTTTCAAATAACTCTTGAAAATCGCCCCTTGCTGGAATCCTCCATAAATTAAAAAACAGGAATCAGTAGAGCAATATCAATAAAAAATGTTCCGAGTAACAAAAGTTTGGGTTCTTCAACAGGACATATTTCTGGATTTTCTGGGGGTTTGGTTAACACCCCAGTCACATTTCCTACGGCGACCTTGCGGTCTATCATTTCTGCGGCCAGTAACATTTCCCACGGCAGCCGCACGGTGAATTTTAAATTTCTGATGATAAATAATACTTTTTTCATTTTATTTACATCGGGACAATTTATAAATGTTATTCATAGTGCTAGGATGTAATATCAAATGAAAAGTGATCGTGAAACATTGACAAATAATGATTCAATCTTGTTGAGCCAGTTGATTTCTACGGAGACCTCAGAAATGAACAAATATTATAACTCCGAGTTATAATTTCTACGGCGACCCTGCGGCCTGTAAAAAAACTGGATACGCCGTACGGAGGCCGCAAGGCAAGCGTAGTTTTTCTACGCCCGCCGCAGAAATTCACTGATTTAATTGATCTGCCACGGCCTCCGTACGACAAATGTGACTGGGGTGTTAGTACTATGCAATGCATTGACGCTGGACTAATTACAGTATCAACTCACAATACCTCCAGTTGAATAGTCAATACAAAATAAATAAAATTTTCCAGATTGGATCATGAACCATCTACATTCCATAAGATTTAGTGTGGGGTTTAAGTCATCCTTCTTCAAAGGACTTCATTTATGCTTAAATTTGGGAAGAAGTGAAATACCCTTGGACCAAGGATGGTTTAAGTGAGATAAAAATATGTTCCAATATGCCAATTTTCTTTCGAAAAACCTCCGGAGATTTGCGTGAATTACCGAGCAAAGACCGCCATATTGGCATTGCTGAGAAAAAACATTCACTCGACTAACAATTACAAGTCTTGAACGACAAAGAAGTGCTGCAGCGCTCCAATACTTGAACAGATGGATGCCACTGATCATAATGGTCATAGATAAAGACCAAAAGTAAGCCGTTGATCACATTATTCGTGTTTTAAGGTCATTCTTCTTCAGCTGCCCAGTGCGCAGTGGAGCGCCATAAGTTTCAAAATCTGACATGGCTCTCGAAATGAATAAATCTTGACATGCCCATTGTCATAATGATAATGTAGTTATTATTGTAAAAGTACATAAATCAATGTTTGTTTGTTTTCTGGTGTCGTATGACATTTATGTGTATACTGACGTGTGTTTACCATGTCCTTTTGTGCCTAGGGGTAGGGAATCTTCTACTAAACCTCGTACAATAGACCTGATTCACTATAACAGCTGATTCACCTGTTGACGAATGACTCAGCCTCGCAAAAACTATAAATGACAAACAAGCTTGTCATCTGATTTAATTGCAAAGAAATTAAAATTCACTTTACATGTAGGACTAGCACATCAACGAAAGATGTACTCGGACATTTTACTCTGTTTTATCGAGTGTATGTTGATTATTTTTCAATCTAAATTGACTCATGGACACGGTCGGATGATAGAGCCAGCATCAAGATCTAGCATGTGGAGATTCGGTTATGACGCCCCTATTAACTACGACGACAATCAACTATACTGTGGTGGCTATGTGGTAAGTTTTCGATAAAGTACGAAAATACATAATCTAATGTATTTAAGAAACTTTACTGTAAGTTTCTTAAACGTATAGCACCGATATTGATGGTAAGTGTTATTTAACGAGAGAATCAGATCTAGCGAGCAAGCAAATAGCCAGCCCATACCATGCCTTAGTTTCAAAATAGGGCCAGATTTCAATATTATATATATTGCACTTTGAAATGAGGTCATTTGGAATATAGATTCGGCTTTGAAAAAGTAGGATGCCGTGTTTATGTAACAATGGCCAACAATTAGATCGAGGGTAATTTCGTCATCAGTGAATAAACTATGATATCAATCGTCAATACTGCTATGGTGTTATGTTAAGTGTTTTATGGATTACAGATAAGTATATATAATTATCTAAGCTATCCAAACAATAAAGCAGCTAAGTATACGCCTGTAGAATTGAGTTGATTATGAGTGTATCACTTACAGGCTTTCAAGTCATTTTGATCCCGCCACCTCTGTACCTGCTGCCTTGGGGAAACTGGTCATTTATGTGTAGTACTGAAAAAATAAATAGTACAAATAGATACAATAGTCATAAAATATATTTGCAGCCATATGCTGGGATAGACTTTGAAATCGATCTGGATTGTTTTGTTATTCCCAGATCCCTGGTATTTTAATTTTCTTGGCGTTTTCCTTTTTTGTTGTGGACACAAACCCTTCCTTCATCTTCAAAGTTATTATGTTCAATAACAAAGTTTCAGTGAATGCAAGAAATATATAGAATGCTAAATATCCAAAAGCGTGTTTTTAATTTGTGGAAAAAATCACATTTTACATGGGTTCTAATGAAAAAATGTCATGACACTTAAAAAATTGTCACCCAAAGGCTCTCTGGCACACTAGAATTAAACATATGGTAGAACTGTAAATTGGTTCGAAGGGTCATCATTTATGTTTATGTCGTGAACAAGACTATTCTAGTAGGCCCATTATTATCACCGTTTTTGTGTCCGGCTATTGGCATATAACTGCCCAGATTTCTTAAAATATAGAATATGTTTCTCATTACAGCATCAGTGGGAGGTGAACGGAGGAAAGTGTGGTCCGTGTGGTGACCCGTGGGACAAGCCACGTGATAATGAGGCAGGGGGGGAATTTGCAACTGGAACAATAGTTCAACAATATCTAAGTGGAGCAAACATTGATATATTCGTGAACATTACAGCTAACCACAAAGGATGGTTTGAATTCAGGATTTGTGAAAATAATGATATTACAAAGCCCATCACCCAAAAGTGCTTAAACACCAATCTTCTCAGGCTTACAAATGGTGGCATTAGGTATTATCTCCCTGATGAAAGACGCACTGTTTACAAAGTCTCCGCTCGTCTTCCCAAAGATCTCACCTGTTCCCAGTGTGTACTCCAATGGAAATACAACGCAGGTATAAGAATAACTGTTATTTTAAATTCAATTAAAAGACCCATAGTGTTTTATCGATCATCGATGAATAGTGTCAATTAATTATTATATCAATATGTCTACTATTTTTTTGTCCCGAATACCATATTGCTTACATAATTTATACTCTGAGTGTCTGGGTTGTTTTCTACTAGACTAATTGTTTTAGATATTTTCAAATGTGTTCTTGGTGCTTCGGCAATTATTATAAACTTTAAGGTTACAGCAGATATTTCAGAGGCGGGATGTTTTGTAAATTGGTTGTATTCTTTTCAATGTTGCTAATTGTTTAGTGTGAATGTTATATCTCATTTTCTGATTTAATTCTGACGCTTGGCTTTTTTTCAATTCATTTATTTGGATATAGTATACCATATTCTTTAGAATAAATAAGTTATACTCGCCATGGGCGCCATGGTTATCAAATAGTACTACTTTGTTTTCATTGCCTTGTTTTGTGCCATATTGTGCAAGCTTTTTCATTTTGTTTAAATGATTTGTTTTAACAAAAAAATGTGTGGTGGGCCGACTCCATTATTTCTTCAATTCATGTTATGATGTCATACGAATATGACAATTGGACTATCACTATAGGAATGATTATCATATTGATATAAAGATATTGATTTTACAGTTTATTTGTATAAATGTTTATCCCACGATTGTTTATATTTTGTTTATTTACTGATCGATCAAATACCTCAATTTCACATATTGTCTATGGTTGAATTGTAACAATGGTGGCATCAGTATGAATCCATCTTGGAACAATATGAAAATTGATTAGCGAGTGGAAACGAATTGATTGGCAGCGTATTGTGATATTTATTGGGACATTTATTGAACAAATATAGCATGACGTCCTGTTCAGATTGTTTTTATCTCTATAAATATTTCAAATCAATACATGACATTTTAAACGAAGCAAAGACTTATAAAATAAAGCTATTGGTTCCTTATTGTTATTTAAGGTAATAGATGGGGACCAGATATCCGCATACCAGAGGGTGGTTGCGTCGGGTGTGGCCCTCAAGAACAATTCTTTGGATGTGCTGATATTTCAATCCATGAGACTTTAGATGAAATGAGTACACAACCCCCATCAAAACAATCCTTCGTGTCTACAACTGAATCGTATGATAAATTAATAAATGATAGGCTAGTAACATCCAAGGAAGCATTAAGCAAATGTGTTGCTAGGGGAGGGTGGGTCACAGAAGCAGACCAGGTGGTCAAAAACGAATGGTGTAATTTAGTTTGCTCAAGAGAACATTGTCCAAAGGGATATTGTTTCTGTGATCTAGATGGAGAGACTAGTGAAAAAATCTGCAAATTCGAGGATTTGGTTTGAAAAAACAATCACTCGATTATTCTCAAACTGGACACGTAAGGAGAAGACCATACGAAGCAAAGATAAAAACACCGATCCCTTCAAGAAAAGCAAGCATATATGACAATCGAAAAGAGCTTTCCATTACTAATACAGACCAATTTAGTCTCCATCGACCTTCTGGCAGAGGGCGTCCATTATTTTAATCATATGGCTTCAAATATCATGAAATCCATTAATAAAAATACATGTGCTTTATATGATATTCTATTATTAGGATGGCCCATAATGTGTCTAACTATAAGAAGATACAGTTTTGGTCATGTTTTGTAGACATCTTTTCCAACCCTCTACATAGCTGTGAACGTTTCATAAATAAATGCAGTCTAGTTAAAAATGTTATTGTTCCTATTGTATATAACTATGATTTCATGTAAAAGTAATAAAGTCCAACTCACTTGAGTTTCGTTTGTACCTTTAACTGTACAGACTGGCCACTAAGAAGTAAGACATTTGCTTTATATTGTCATTTTATCTTATATATATTTTATTTACTTATATATATACGTATATGAAACCATAAAACTTAAATAAAATTTTACAAAAAGAAATACAAGAAATCTTACACTCTCTAAAATAGTTTTATATCAGATTGATAAAATATGGATGCCGGAATGGACCCCTGGACAGCATTTATTTCATGGTGGATTTTCAGAACTTCTAACGATCAGACAAGATTAGTTCTTAACAGCATCATTTGTTAGTGTTCTACCAAGTAGAAACATAGGCCTATATCTAACCCTCTGAGTAATAATGGAGACTGATTTTCACAGTGGCGTGCACTGCCTCCAGCCACACCTCAAAGGTTACTCAATATTGACCAAGGACTGGTAAACTTAATTCACCGTATATCCTATGCTAAGCCTTGGTAGATCTAGCTAGCATACACAAATGCAACTGTAGGGAACTGTTTGCAAGAAATAAAAAATGTATTATTGAATTAAACAATCATTCTTAAAGGAATGATGCGGCATGGCATTCAATACCTTGAAAATGATAATGAACGATGTCCCATGTTTCATTTCGGTATGTTTTGTTTGACCCATCAATTTTGTAAAATATTCAATATAATCTTATTGTATTCTAAAGCCTGCGTTATATCACTTTGTTTCGTGTTCCAGTTATACATCCCACGTGTGATGCCACACCTCAAAGGTTACTCAATATTGACGAAGGACTGGAAAGAAATGGTAAACTTAATTCACCGTATATCTATGCTAAGCCTTGGTAGACTTAGCTAGCATACATAAATGCAACTGTAGGGAACTGTTTGGAAGAAATAAATAACTTATTATTGAATAAAACAATCATTCTTAAAGGAATAATGCGGCATGGCATTCAATACCGTGAAAATGAGCGATGTCCCATGTTTAATTTCGGTATGTTTATCAATATAATCTTAATGTATTCTAAAGTCTGCGTTATATTACTTTGCCTCATCATGAGAAATCATGGCCTTCTATTAGCTTCATTCTAGTATAAATTTCTAGTTGAAAACAGACAGATAGGATGAGTATCAGAATGGCTTTACATACATGCATCCCACAATTGCAAGTGATTATGCATGTTACTTAATAGTAGTAAATGTATTTATTTGTAACTAAAACCTTGGGTAAATCAATATTCCCAGGAACAATTTCAAGTCTATATAGGTTGTAACATGTGTAAAGAAACTCTGATTGCACATCAAAATGATTCCCAGAGTTCATAAAGCTATTATATATTTCCATGCAATAAGTAGTTGCGTGCTTTGTAATCTTACCGAATATTGTTTGATCCTGTTATTGGTTTTTGTATGTTTGTATATTCACGCAAGCTCTAAATAACTTTTCATGATTATCTGGCGTTGGAGTGATATCAAAGGACGCCCTGGCAACAAAGGTCACCATCAGCTATCATGGAATTTCTTAAGATAATTGGATTGTTTTTCAGAAAAAGTTTCGTGTATTTAAATACTACTTTAACGGAGGACATTAATGGAAATTCATTTCTGTATTGCCAATAATCAATTGAAAAATATCAAAAAAGATCATGTGCAGTATGGCAAGTGAATTTAGACTGTCATATCTTTCACCATGAGTACTTTCTGGTCGTATATACAGTGGTTTTTATTATAACAATATGTTTTCTTTCAAGTGAAGTACCTATGATTGTGAAATATCTGAAAAATTATGGTTTAGGATCCCACCTTGGCACTTTTTTATTTAAAATGTCAGGCTTATTTTCTAAAAAGAGGATCTTGTTTTTCTCAATTTAAACATATGGAACGTTTCTTCTATCATATATTAACAATTTCTGAAAAGGGGATGGGTATTGAAATGTGTTAAGTTAAAAACCACATATCCCATGTTATTTTCCCATAGGGAAAACTCGTGCATCCATTGTTTTCAGCATAACTTGGCTCATCGAAAATTGATATCTTCTAAACTAGACTTTCAATACCATTCTTCTTTTGAAGAAGCTCTAGACCCTTGTTGAATAATCTTTTCATGCAATAAAAATCAGAAAATGAAGATCCTCTTTTGAGTAAATAGGTTCAACATTTTGGAAAAATAGTTGACATGGTGTCCCTATTCATAATTTTTCGAATTGTCCGATTGATATTGTTATCCCCATGGGAACTTCACTTGAAAGAGAACATATTGTTTTAAAAAACCACAATATTCATGCCCAGAAAGTACTCATGGTGAAAGATGTAACTGTCTAAAATCACTTGCCATACTGCACATGGACCTTTGCTAAACTAAATATAACAAAAAAAGGTTGTCATAACAACCAAAGTTGAGCAAACTAGTTAATTTCGTTGGACTTTTTAGTTGTAGATAGTCATACGATTCATATGTTTGATTTTTCATGTTGTGGTTCAACATTTCAAGGTATTATCCATTTATATAATTCTAATTGAATCTTTCACAAAATGCGAATTGTCATTGTCGGCCGTTGCTGTCTTCAGGAATGGTTCTTGAACTTGACAAAGAGGTGGGAACGTATAAATTTTTTCGAGAATCCCACATGTATACAGATTAAAGATAAAATAATTAAAGATAAATATAATCGTTGTAAAAGTTAATCACGATCAAGTTATCAAGGAAAATCAGTTTATATCCAAAGAACACGTGTAAGCTTTTATAGAATTTATTATTTAAATATAAAATATTTTACAAAACCTTTTTGGCATGGGGAGACTATCTATCGATAAAGAGCTTGTGTAATTGTATATAAAATAACCGATTACGTAACCATGAGATGATGTTACGCAATGAAAGCGCAATTGTGATTGATTTGTGCATCCTAACCCCCCTATCACATCAAACTAGTTTTTGCCAGTCATACGAAAACGTCGTAAAACGGGCTCAATCTGGCTGTGGTCGGGAAATATGTCTAAAATAATTAGCTACTTCGTTTATAAACAGTCTTCAATACCAGTCATCAAAACATTCTGAAAATTCTACACATCGTCAATTCAATGGTCATCTTTTGTATGGTACCATTATAATTTGAAATATATTTACATACTTTTCTCTATATTTTTAGATAACACATGAGACACTTCTTTTGTTCTTGGTATCATATGTTCGGAATGAAATGAAACATCTATTCAAACTTCATTGGAACAAAACGACATAAACAACGTGCGTAGGTCTCTCAATATTGTAATTGCACAAAGGAAGGTTTGTTTGATATTAAAAAAGTATCTTGTTAATGAAATTAAAGGTTAAACTTAATTTTTACCTATTTTGGGGGGTTTTGTAAACGTTTTTGCATACTTATTGTAAAATCAACCAAAAATTCCTTTGTATAACTATAATATTGAGAGGTCTAAGAAAATGTTGTATATGCTATTTTGTTCCAACAAGGTTCGGAAAGACATCTCATTTCATTCTCAAGAATTGGTAGAAATGAACAAAAAACAATTGCACTAAAAAACAAAAAAAATGTTAACAAAAACAGTTACATAAAATATATATCAATAATTTTTGCATTAAATTGTTGCCAATCGGTCAAAATTACATAAAGGACCCTGGTTTTTTTCAGAATGTTTTCAATAATTGGTTTAAGAGAAAAACATTGTTGAATTCAGTTTACCATATCGATACCTATCCTTTTTTCCTAGGGATCAAAAACTGTTTACAGTTCCAAACATGACCCTCTGAGGTAGTACTGTATATATAAGCTTTATAAGTCATATTACGATTTCCCCTTGAAGCTCAAACTGTAAACAGTTACACACACCACCCTCAGAGGTACATATGTATATGTGAACTCTATGTAAAATCCCTTTATATGTTATCAGAAATACTTTTGGAATAAGTGACTGCTGTCTATCTCCTTTTGTTATAGTTGTGGATGGTGTTAGAGGGTTGGCAGTTGGCAGTTGGCAGTCAATGGTCGACATCTGTAACAAATGGCAGGTGGAGACATTTTACATCTCTTTTTGTTAATGAATGAGGTGAGGGGGAGGTTAAGGTAGATTAAAATTCTCCTTGGGAGCACAAACCACAAACATTATACAGTTTCTTAACCCTCAGAGAAACAGGTGAAATGTATCAACTGTTGAATCCTACCATGGGTTTAAAAGGTTTGCTTTATGAACTACTGTTGGAGTAAGTGGGTGCTATACATTTGATAATGAACGGCGTGGGGGGAAATATTCGTTGGAAGCACAAACAAATAAATGGTGCGTTTTAAAAATACTTAAATATGTGAGTGATGTCCATCAGCCATCCTCTATCGATGAATTGGGGGAGGGATAAGTCATATAAGAATTTTCCTCCTTTGTTAATGGATGGGGTGAGGGGAGGTTACGGTACAACTGTAGATTAAAATTCTCCTTGGGAGCACAAGCCACAAACAATATACAGTTTCTTAACCCTCAGAGGAACGGGTGAAATGTATCAACTGTAGAATCTTGCCATGGGTTTAAAAGGTTTTCTTTATGAACTACTTTTGGAGTAAGTGAGTATATACTCATGAACGGAGTGGGACAGGGGGGTAAACAAATAAAATACATAATCCCTTCATGAATAAATCATATAAGAATTTTCCTCGGAAGCACAAACAGCTTACAGCTCTACAACGCATCCTCAGAGATGCATCTGAACTTCACGAGTGAGAATTCTTTCATGGGTAAAGGTGTATTTTATAGTCATATGTGAATTTAATCAACTGTAGGATTCCTTCAGTGGTAAACAGTGCATTTAGGAGTGAATAAGAATCGTAAGACCTTGACTTATAAAGAGAAATTCTTGATAAAATTTTAGAAAAAGAAAAATATAAAAACAAGAATTTTTAACATGAAGAAATGACCCTTTAGACTAACAAAGGAATACAGAAAATTAAAAAAACAGTTGATCATTACAAAATTGTAACATTATTTCATAATAGCATGTTTTCCCTGGGAAATAAACAGGGAATAGAATTGATATGCAAAAGATCCCATATTAGCTAGATTCCTTTATCAGATCCCGTATTGGATCCTGTATCAGCCTAAATCACATATCAGATCCTATATCAGAGCCATTC